GCCAACAGCTAGACTAAGGATCTCAAACAGTCCTTTCTTGGGGGGTATTTACTTAAACCTGATATTTAACCCATGCCTGTCAATGACCTTTAGTGAGATCTAGAATGCTAATGTATCATGCTCCTGGCAATGTATGTACCCTACACCTAAACCAGATGAACACCAGATAATATGGTAGTAACAAGCTTAATGCAATTGTCTGAAGACTAGAAAAAGTATTTGTTCAAGGCACTATGGTAGCCACAGATACCCACAAGTCTACTTCCTGAAATCCAGCTATTTCCATTTTATTTTTAATTTCTTTCTTTGGGCTTTATAGTATTTATCCAAAGTCAATGAAAGAATATCTTCCACAGGAGCCCACAGGAATCCACGGAAGAGTTCCATTCCACAGCAGTTCAAGAGCTTCAACAGGAATTTTGTGGTCCTGCCATGAGGTGTCTGCAGTGTCTAAGATGCTGATGTACTCTCTGGTTTTGCACCTTTCTACTCAGATATTTTAGCAATTAAGCTGAATAAAGTATCCAGTTATTAATTTATTTTTTTTTTTACCTGTTGAGTCCACAGAGATCTTTTCATCCTCAGAAGGAGGTAAGGCAACACAGGAAACTCTCATGACCTGACACAGAAAGGTATTTATGAAGTCATGACGGGCAGTGGCTGCAATGACCCCAAGAATAGGACATCATGCAGAACTACAAAGAAAGCAAATAGGTAATTGCCTATAACTCAGTTAAATTAAATCCAGCCTCTGGCAACATATCAGCCACCTGTCCACACTCTAAAGGACTAGACAAAATTTTTTGCACAAGAAGTCAGAGCCTTCATTTTGTGTCAGATGTGGCAAACGGTTTAAAGCATTGCAAGGCCACAGAAAGATTACATGCTTCCACACCACATACAGCAAACCCATTGTTTCAACTCTCAGGAAGAGAGAGGCACCTAAGTATAAGTAAAGGGCACAGCACTTGGAAGAGTTTAAGCAGAAGAGACCGAGCAGAAAGCAGCAACTGTTTCAGAGGTCTCGGTGAGCAACCAGCTCAGAAAGCTGGAACCTGCCACAGCAGGAAGCCTGGCCAACTATGTAAAGACCTAAGTCCTACCATCACTCTTACCAGGAGCTCTCCACTTCACAAGGCCTTACACAAACGCAGTGATCTGGTCACCCACACCTACCTCTAACTCCAGGAAAAGCCAGATTCCTAGCCCTGAGAGCACGAGTGCTGCCAAGAGCAGAGGTGACAACAGCAAGCATGTTGCATATTCATAAATACTCATTAGCACACCATGACACGTGCAGCTCCGTTTCCCTCCTAGTGCTGAATGCCACTAGCTCACATGGATCTGAGCCAGCAGGGTTTCCTAGTTCTGCTTTCCAGCTCCCTGAAATGCTAGGCAAAAGTTCTGTTACTAACACAGAGGGATTTAAGTCTTCATCTGTATAACGGGCCCATGTCCCCCTACTCCGCTTTCCAAGAATCCTGCATGCTGTGCTGCCAACTGTGCCAGAGCCCACCCACCAACTCCGTGACAGACAGGAACAAGCATTAAATTCCTTCTTGATTCTATTATAATTTACATTCATTTCGCTCATGCAGGACATCAGTACAGAAACTAGGGCACATATGTTAGGCAATTCATCCCACCCACTCTTCACCCCAGCCCTGCCCCTCTAACGCTGGTAACTTTATCAGCCGTCCAGACCCCAAGATCTGTGATCCCCTACAGCCTTCTCAGCAATAAATGCACAGTGCACAACAAGCCACTGCACAATCCAATAAACAGGAATTGTATCAGTGAGGAAAGGTTCTTCTGTAAGTGTGCAAAAGAGTACAGGAGGAAAGCTGGAATTTGTAAATCTCTACAGTTAATAAGATTGAAAATATTAAAAAAAAATCCCTCTGATGTGCTTTTTAATCAGCCTGCAATTTAGAGATGCTATCTTTAATCCAGGCTAACATGGAAACCATGCAACCAACAACTGGTTGCTAACTTTTTTGTAACTGATAGCTTGACACAAGCAAAGGTCCTCAAGGACCTAGTGGCTAATTAGCAGTTATTAAAATTAAACAGCAAAGAAAGCAGTAGAGAATTTACTGAATCTGTGGTAAGATGTGGCCTAGAGATTACAGAAGCCCACAGGAAAGAAAAGGAGAAGGAAGAGAAGTACTGAGCCAGATAGATAAGGGCTTCTGTGCTGCAACTTTTATGCGAGAGTGCATCCAGAAGTTAAAGAGAACAACTAAAGGTGGAAATGAAGTACCGATGAAACTGTGACAGCACCCAATAAATGCAGTGTGTTCTTTTCCAAAGAATTTTAGACCCCCTTCGAAGCTTTGAAAGTTCAGTTTCTATACGCTTTGCTGGGTGTTTTGTTTACACTTTCCTTTAGCTAGACTTGATAATTTACAAAAAAAACAAACTATGACAGAATCCCCTTAAATCTTTACACACATGCAATATATTATGCCTCATTTTTCTAACATCTCTGCAATTGCCTACTTGAAATTCCAGAAGTGTAAGTAAAGCATACTCAAATGCTAGGTCTCCTCCATCAAAGAGGAAGAGTGTCCAAAAGTTAAGATTCAAATCAATTCAGAGAGAACTGATACAAACAGGAATTTGGAAATAGGGTCAAAAATGTCCAGAAGGAACGGACCCAGGACAGAATCAAAGTAACAACACTGCTCTGTAAAGAAATCAGAAAATATTACAAGGAAATTCAAGAAAATAAATAGCTAAAATATCCCAAACCTCACTAAAAAACTTCCTTTTTCCTAACCGGTAAATAGCCATTTTAACTACTGCCAGGGGACTGATGAAAAGGTCCTGGTGGCATCACACAGCATGCACACTAAAAGAAAGGACCTATTTTTCTGTGGTTCTAAAGAAAGAGAGAGAGATGCCATAAGATAGAGTCATTCAAGGGAATTTGTCAGCTGGGTATTACTGACACACAAAAAGCTAAGCACGGAGGATGTCCGCGAGTAGAACTGGCCAACATTGCCAGAGCTAGACTTTCCACTGTGCTTTTCATAGAATCATAGGATCATTATGGTTGGAAGAGATCTCAAAGATCATCAAGTCCAACCTTCTACCCAACATCACCATGCCCACTAAATCATGTCACAAAACACCACATCTAAACGTTTTTTGAACACCTCCAGGGATGGTGACTCCACCACCTCCCTGGGGAGCCCGTTCCAATGCTTAATGACTCTTACAGTGAAGAAGCTCTTCCTAACATCCAACCTGAGCCTCCCCTGGTACAACTTGAGACCATTTCCTCTTGTCCTATCACTAGTTACTGGGGAGAAGAGACCAACCCCCACCTTGCTACACCCTCCTTTCAGGTCGTTGTAGATGGTGAGTAGGTCTCCCTTCAGCCTCCTCTTCTCCAGGCTGAACAACCCCAGCTCCCTCAGCTGCTCCTCACTGTGACAACAGAAGAGCAAACAAATATTGGAAGCTGGCTGAAAAATGGCATGCAGGCACCACTCACCTCCAAATTGCACAGAAGTCTCACTGCAGAATGCAAGGTTAATTCCTAAGCAGGAAATAGAGTGAAACAGCAAATTCTTTCACTTGCATGGGGTCTTTCAAACAAAACAAGTAAAACCTGCAAAGGGATTTACTAGGAATTATTGTTTCAACAATATGAAGGATTGAAGGACTTTTTCTCCCATATCTAGCTAATATTATCCAAGGTAAGTGTCTATGAAAAGGAGTAACTTCACTGAACGTAACCACTGTATAGAAAAGAGAAATAAAGCAACCACCTACTAGATTTTTTCAAATCTACTTGAAAAGTAATCAACTAGTACATACAAGTACTCCTTTTAAAACCATTAGTATGCTATTCAGTTTTACTCTGAGTGAGCAAGAAAGAGTTAATAAAGAACATACACTGTCTCTGCATGCAGTAAGTAACATGGAATCTCAAATGAGAACCAGTCATGGTAAACTGGAAGTATAAATTACTTTTTTTAATAGGTGTCCACCTACCACACACACAAAAAAAATTCTTTTTCCTGAAAACATTTTATGGCTATAATTTGGAAGAACCTTTTGAGATCTCCTGTCCAAACAATAACCCCAATATTCATTGTCATACAAAGCAATTATTAGTTCACAGCTGAAAAAAAAATAGTTTTATAATGTGAGCCACCCAGTCTCACAGTTGGTAGTAACAGACTTCATTTACCTTGCAGAAACAGCCCTCAACTTTAATTTAACAACTGGATTTCAGCAGAAACACACACAATGGCAAAATTCCAATTATTGACTCTTTTATTTATTCAAATAAATAAATAGGTAAATGGCTCTGATTGACTTTTTTTTTTTTAAATGCAGGTGTAGTGATGCCAGAATTAGAGAGAAACTTTCATGGGGAGGAGACAGGGCAAGTCATCTTGTGCAGACCACGTTCCACATTCACTTCTCTAGAAACACAGCTTTCTGTATTACAATCTACCGTTTCACAAGACACTAGCTATTAGATGTAAGGTTTGTTTGCAAAAGGCTTAGGAGGAGGAGAACGGTCAAGTCATGTCTGACCACCATCTGAAACATCTCAACAATCCAACAGCTAAAATTAATACATTACACACTGTGGTCTTGATTCTACTTCAACTGACAAGAGTTACCACTAAAATTAGTAAGCATTTGATCATTTAACATAAAAAATATCAGTATTTTATGGTCTGCATTAATCCATTTTGATAAGTTAATCTTGTATTTTTTACATCAGCTTATTGCAACAGTCATAACTGTTCCCAAAGAATTCTTAAGCACCATTAAGCAAATAAGATGAATGCTTCTTAGCCTTTTTTCAAAGGAAAAAAGGCCAAAAATTAACTCAACCAACCTTTTGAACAACAAGAACCAAGTCACACCACTCCACACTGCCCTGTGACCTATTCACAGCTGCAAAATTAATGGAAAAAGTAAATCAGCAATTATTCATAATTAAACAAAAAAATAAATCCTTTTTACAGCATGAAATACATTTTATGTATTTTCAAGTAAGATTGTCTACACGGGGTGAATTTTACACTGTACATGTTTTTTGATGTTGCAGCGTATACATACAGAGAAAAATACTGCCACAATCAATACAGTTAAGTACACATACATTATTCACATTTTAAAATATTTTACACAGCTCCAAACCATCAGCATCGTTTAACTATACGCATTTCCAAATGGAGCGTAAAATGCTTACAGTTTTTTTAACATGGGAATTTCAACATAAATGCTGCTTTCAGTTCTTTATTCATTCAATGGACTCAGGTGTTAACTTTGTTCCATGCCAGCCATCAGTGACAAAGCTAAAGATTCCACTGCAAACCAAACCATAAAAAAAGAAGTTAGTATTTGCATTTGAAGCAGTCTGCAAATATTTATTGCGGTATTCAATTCTGTAGTTTAAAAAGAAGATACCAGTTTATTTTTTAAATTGTAACACTTCAGGATTTAAGAAGGTAAGACATTTTATGAATCTCTGACAGTTCAGACAATATTTCACCACTTTCATCATCAGTTACCCCTTAGTTATTTTGGGTGATAAGAACTGGTAAGAAACTAGCTCCTTTGAAATACTAACTGCTGTACACAAAAAAAATGAATAAACATTGTGGTGGGTTATATGCAGTAAGCCATTCTCACAGATGGCTGCTGCAGACAAGCTCTTGTAGACTGAGTAGCAGCGATGTCAGATATTACCTCTTTTAGATTCATAGAATCATTTAGGTTGGAAGGACCTTAAAAATCATTAAGTCCAACCATTAACCTAGCACTGCCAAGTCCACCACTAAACCATGCTCCTAAGTACCACATCTACACATGGTGTAGAAACCGGTTAGAACATGCATCCACATCCCCGCTAACCCCATTCGGCAGTTATCCCCCTAACTCAAACTGGCACTGATTAGCAATTAAGCGAACATCAGGCTGCAAGTGGAAGCAGAGACATGTCATCTTCTGCTGTTCCTGCCACCAAGGAAGTAACTTCCAACAGATGGGCAGAGTCAAGAACTCAGTGCAATTGCAGCTGAGGCACCATAATACTAAAATTTTATCTGTTCAAGATATATCACAGCTGTCACCCAACAACAACAAAAAGAATGCTTCTCTATGCCCTCCAAAACTCAGTTTCATTTGTTTAGAAAACTGCTTGTCACTTGCTTGGCTACATCAGCATCCCCTTGCCAAGAAAAGAGGTAAACTGAAGATAGCTGTCATAAAAAAAGCATGGCACAAATACTCTAAAAAAATAATGAGGTTAACTTATTAAGAAGAAAGGCCTCATGTCCCTCTGTGAATACCTCACAAAATGAGATTCTTTAAGAGGTACTGACAAACATTAAAACAGATTAAGAGGTAAATACATTCCTAGTAATGCCTGTGTCCCAGCAAGTGCAGGTATGTGAAAAGCCTCATGTACTTACAGTGAGGAAAAGAGCCTCGACAGACAGCTTTGTTGAGAACAGTTACAAGAAACATGTGACAGTTTTTAAAATCAGATTCCATCTTCTCTATGGATTCCATCCTATGAAACAGTTTAACAGAGGAATGCTTAACAGACTAGCCATTATGTTATCTTCAGGAATATGACCAAAACTTCAAAGTAAATGACAAAAGTACTCTTTGCATAGCAGTCTGGGTTGAACTTACAATATTTCAGTTATGCCTGTGTATACTACTTCTAGAAAACAAGGGAATTCTGACAGGAGCATCTGAGCACTATCAAAACAGCATTAATAATTTCCTCATCATCTTACAAATCTCAGCAGTGACTCGGAGGAACTGTGTGGTTCCAACTGATAACTAATATTCCTACATAGCTTTGTATTTCAAGACAGCCACGCCTGGTCCCTATGGCTTCAGAGCTTCTTGGGGTAAATCTACACTGCCAAATAACACAGGGACATCCACACTGCTTTACTATCAGTCAGCTCTTGAATTCCACTTTGGACTGTGCCAGCTAGTGCTCACCAGAGGCGGGAGAATACATAGTTCACAATAGTCACTCCTTTCCTTTTTCCCCCCTCTCCCAAGAAGATACCAATGACACTACATCAGCTATGGCTTTTTCCTGCCACACCTAAGAGCAGGCACCCACATGCCCTGAGTTTCAGTCTTTATCAACAGCTTTCACAAATTATTTCTGAGATTTCAAATCAGAAAAGCACTCCAAAAATAGCAACTTCTTGATGCCACAGGAGAGCAGGATCCAAGTTCTAGGTAGCATCTGTGACAAAGAGAATGAGTCCTGAAAATATGGATGTGAGCCAGTCCACACCAGCTGGCCTCAGGGCCACAGATCAACCCTTGAGTGTTAGACACAGCCTTGGAGACTTGCCCACTATCATCCATCTTTCAAGCAGCAGGTTAAACTAGCAAAAGTATAAAGTCTAAACGGGGAGAGGAGTGGCTGGAGAGCAGCCCTGCAGAAAGGGCCCTGGGGGTGCTGGTCAGCAGCAACTCAACAGGAGCCAGCAGTGAGCCCCGGCAGCCCAGAGGGCAAACCCCACCCTGGGGTGCATCAAACCCAGCATCACCAGCCGGGCAAAAGAGGGGATTATCCCACTGTATTCAGTGTTGGTGCGGCCTCATCTTGAGTTCTGTGTGAAGTTCTGGGCCATACAATTTAAGCGGGATGTGGAGGTCCATGAATGCATCCAGAGGGCAACAACGCTGGTGGAAGCACTGGCAGGCACAGCCTGTGAGGGCTGGCTAAGGACTTTGGGTTTGTCCAGTTTGGAGAAAAGGAGGCTGAGGAACGACCTCATTGCTCTCTGCAGCTTCCTGAGGAAAGGACATGGAGAGGGAGGTGCTGAGCTCTTCTCCCTGGGATCCAGCAACAGGATACATGGGAATGGTTCAATGCTGCACCAAGGGACCGGACATCAGGAAGCATTTCTTTACCAAGAGGGTGGTCAAACCCTGGAACAGCCTTCCTATAGAGGTGGTCAATGCCCCAAGCTTGTCAGTGTTTAAGAGGCGTTTGGACAATGCCCTTAACAACATGCTTTAACTTTTGGTCAGCCCTGAATTGGTCAGGCAGTTGGACTGGATATCATTGAGAGTCCATTCCAACTGAACTATTTTGTTCTATGCTAAAAAAAGATGTTATTTTTAATTTTATCTAAGATTAAGCCATCTAAAGATGGCTTAGAGAACAGCAACTGATTCATAGACCAACACTTCAATCTTATCTTGGAAATTACAGGTGGGTTTCTAACTTCAATCATGGCACATAAGGAAGCACACATCTTTTCTAAAAATCCCAACTAAGACACCCATCCCAGGTTGTTCCTACAGAAAAGTTACTATAGAAAAGGACAGACCAAAAATAACTTCACATTTTACCAATAATACAAAACCTGAGCATTTGAACTAATGGATTCAAACATTCTGCATGAAAATCTTGACTCTAAAGTCAATGGCAGAACTTTCATTGCCTTCAACAGCTTTACACTTTTACCATAGATTTTTTTACAAAGGCTTTATAATTTGGACAGTCCAGATTAGAAAAATAAGGAGGTTTAGAGATTAGATTTAGATATTTTTTTTAAAAGAAAAACAAAAATTTATCACCTGCTAGAATGAAAGCCAAACTAAATAATCCCACTTTTCATGAACCAATTAATGAACATCAGCATCTAGCTGCCTACAATTTTAAATCATCACCAGGAAACACAATCATAAGCCAAACCTGTGAACTTCTCATTTTACCATTATGAACAAATACAAAGGAAAAGAAAAACATCTCTGTTGCTATGCTCTACAATCTTTTCAAACACTTAGAAGTTATATATTGGCCACCTTTTTAAACAGAAAATACTGAACACACTTTGACACAAGTGCATGAAACTTACTAAGTTCTATCTAAAATAAATTTCACTTTTGCTAAGAAATAGCAATTAGCCTTTGGTATCTGCTGTTAAACACTGAGCAAAGTCCTGTTATTTCACACAAAAAATATCTTGAAATCATCTTCTGAGCTGTGAAATGATGACCATGTAGAATTTTAGGTATGTATACTTACTTCCAAGCCCCCAAACCAGCCTGCCAACGGTCTGCAAACATCAGTACTAAATTTAACACTTTCATTATAGCTTCTTTCACAAAGCTCACCTAAAATAACAATTAAAACAGAAGGAATAACAGTCAAATTAATTGTTCAGCACAATCATTTTCACTATTAAGCTGCAATACAAAGGTATCGCATGCCATTTAATCTGACTCGTAAAAAACAACCTCCTAAGTACAATGTGATTATTCCAAATTTAAGTTGTGTTTTGTATTTGCTCTCCCATTCATTTCATGGCTGATTATTTTGATGAGGACCATGCACAGACAGTATGTGGGATAAGAGGCTACAATGCTATCCAGGTATCTCTGTTTCCTGCCATACCAGTATGTATAATCCTCATTACATTACCAAACCACGGTTTGTTCAAATCCTCCCATCTCTTAAACAAATGAATCATGTAAAACCTAATATAAAGAATTTAATTTTATCTTCTAATCTTGATAGAATTGAGCTGAGACTTGCAACAGAAAGTGGATCTCAGTGTTAACTCTGGAAAAGCTACCGTTTCCTTGAGAGTTACTATTTATTGCTTAGTATGTATGAACATATAGACAGCAAAATTAGTAGTAACATAAAGACAGCAAAATAGACAGCATAATTACTAGTAAGCTACTCTCTAGTCCTGCT